GCTGCTAACATTGAACTGCTCCATCAGCTTTTCCCACAAATGTAGTCACTTTGGTTTTTGTGTATTTCTTTGGAGACGTCCACATGAATGGATACCACTTTGTGTTGTTGAAAAAAGACATTTGCTATAAACATGCCATTGGTCTCTCAAAATTCTGTTACGCAATCTCCAGCTCCGTTTCCATCTTCAGGACCAGTAGCTGGAAAATAAGGTGCTGGTGCTATGCTCGCTAGCTTATTACAATTACGCTTATGAACTTTCAGTTTGCTGATCTATAAAATGAGAATCATTATACTTTATGAGGAATGAGAGAACTCAGATGAGGATCTTAGCACACTGTCTGATCTATGAGAGTATTTGATAAGTATCAGGCAATTGGTAGCCATTCTAATGATTTCTGGAGCGGTCCTGTTAGTCTGTGGGTACAGTGTGGTACTGGTAACAAAGAGCTGTTACGGTGAGTGAACCCTAAGACACGTTTGATATTCATCTACGATAGTCACAGAAAGGCCAAGTTCATCTGGGTCAGCTATTTTACATGAATAGGTACCTTCTCAGCGGCAGTGATTGGTGGTTTGAAGGGCAGGGTGGAGAGGAGGGCTGTACCTGTGGAGGGGCTAAGAGAATTTCTCTCCTGCAGCTCCTCTGTCCGGAGAGTACCTGCCTCCCCTCCCATGGTGACTGAGCACTAACATGAGCTAAAGGAGCCCTGGCAGCTGGACAGTCGGGGTTCAGACAGGAGGACACAGCGGTTTGCCTCCTTAGAGTCCTGTCTTGGAAGCCCTGTGTGCAATTGACTCTGCCCACGGGATCGCTGGGCATCGGAACAACTCGGTGGCAATGGGTTTATTTTGTTTTTCACTAAGAGCTGTGAGTGCCTGAGTTAAACACGCAGATGCTAACTGAAACTCCTCTGCACCCCTCACCCCCCTCCAGCTGTTCCAGAGTGACAGACTGAGCCCCTGAGATGGCAGGGCAATTACACTTTGTCCTACAAGGCTTCGGAGTCTGGACTGAGCATGGCAGTTTCTTTTTCGTGTCAGTTACG